CACCTTGCCGACGAAAGTCCACATAGTCAAAGCTATGGTTTTTCCAGTCGTGATGTATGGAAGCGAGAGCTGGACCATAAAGAAAGCTGATCGCCAAAGAATTGATGCTTTTGAGTTGTGGTGCTGGAGGAGGCTCTTGAGAGTCCCCTGGACTGCAAGGACAACATACCTATCCATTCTAAAGGAAATCAACCCTGAGTGCTCACTGGAAGGACAGATCCTGAAGCTGAGGCTCCAATACTCTGGCCATCTCATGAGAACAGAAGATTCCCTGGAAAAGACCATGATGTTGGGAAAGTGTGAGGGCAACAGGAGAAGGGGACGACAGAGGATGAGATGGCTGGACAGTGTCATCAAAGCTATCAACATGAATTTGACCCAACTCCAGGAGTCAGTGGAAGACAGGAGGCCTGGCATGCTCTGGTCCATGGGATCACGAAGAGTCAGACACGACTAAATGACTAAACAACAAAAAAAAAACCCACAAAGTATGAATATTCAAAAATATTGTATTATTAAGATTTAATTAATTGCACTTGATAAAACAGCATGCAGTCCACAAAAGTATATGTGAAATACAACTTTGTTAGTATACAAAATGCCACAAGATTCTTAGGTGGTTTGTTTTTATGGAAATCTTCTATTGTGTTACGTGCTGTCAAGTTGGAACTGACATATAGTGTTCCTAACAAGGTTTTCAAAGTAATTTATATATTTAAGGAGTCTATCACTCTATCCAATAAACCACACTGGGCATCCACTTTGCATTAGCATATGAAGTGGAAGGGAGAGAGGGAGGGAGGGAGGAAGAAAGTCTCTGCTTGATATTTTCTGGTCTTCATTATACTGTCCAAAATTTAGCATAGTGCTAAATTCCACATACCTATGAAAGTGCCATATGCAACTTGAAAAGTTCTGTTTTGGACTGAATGGTGGGGGGGGGGACCTGAGTAAGGGAAAGCATACAGTAATCCAGAGCATCCAAAGACACTCTGAACTCAGTGCAGTTATTACACTTTTGGAACAGCTGATTCTTTTTACTGAACAATTAACAAGCTGTCCTCCTGAATTCTGGTATAACCTGGAAGTTACTGGCTGTAGCAATAGAATATACACTCCACGTTTGCCTTGTATTTTACTCTTTACGAGAGAGAGAGAGAGAGAGAAAGAGAGAGAGAGAGAAGGCATAATTCATTAGAGATATCTGGAAGGTAAAAGCTTAAAGATCAGGTAAGAGCTGCATCATATCTGTCTCCCAGAGTGAGGACCACTCTCTCTGTAACTCTTTTCAGGACATGATTATAAAAGATGCTTTAACACATGTCTGAGATTACAGCTCCACCCATCTTTCTGAAAGAGAAAGAAGCAGGTGGAAGAGAAGCACTGGACCTAGTAGTGGAGGAGGAAGAGGAAGGGACCAAGGGAAATGCTCAAGAGAAGTTGGGGGAAGCAGAAGAGAATCAACCAGAACCCCACAAAGAATGGAACTATGTAGTAAACAAAGATCTCCTGAACTGGGAAGCTGGTTGAGCTCAGGGTTTCTAAAGGCGAGGGGTCCAAATGCCAGTGCCCATGTCCTCCACCCAGCCCCATTAATGGGGGGGGGGGGACACTGCAGGTGCAGGTCCTCATAATCTTACAGGGTCAGTGTGAGAGAACCAATCCTAACCCAGCAGCGGTGCCGGAGGCAACAACACCAGAAGGCTCATCTATGCCACCTCTAAGAGAAGCAACATCGATCAGAGATCTCTCAGTGCTCAACAGGAGGGTCACAGATATGCAGCATACTCTATCCTCATTGAGGGTATAAAGGCCTTCGCTTCTGAGGGGCTCAAGCTTTGGAAGTACTGACCAAGGGGGAGTTAGTGGGACTTACACAGATTTTGTAGGACTTCTTAAATAAATACTAGGGAGGGGATTTTAAAAGGTAGGAGATACTTAGAGAGCAACTGGACCTTGTATAAGGTCTCAGTTTCATCCCTGCCATTTCCAGTTAAAGACTTTCAGATAGAAAGCTAAGAAACATCCCTCCCTAAAATGGGAGAAAAGCCACTGTCAATCAAACTAGACCCTTCAGAGGCAGAGGTACCTACAATGAAACTCTGCAAAACACAGCTTCATAGATTCCCATGACAGAAGGCACTGAATGAGTTAATAGGGAGAGCCATATGTGTCATCAAGTGCCTGTGGAGTCCTGGATCAGGCTGTATGTGACAAAACTGAGAAATGGAACAAGAATAAGCACTATTTTCTGTAAAGCTGTAGCAGTAGTGATGAGGAAATAAATCAAACAAAGAGAATTGTCAGCAAATGGGCCTTGTTTATCTTCAAACTCAGTTAACTATTTTGCTGATCTTATGTGCTCCAATCTAGCAGTTCCAAGGTACACACAAGGGCTCTGATAAGAACATCTTTTTACAGGGTCTATCCTATAGAATTCTGAAACAAATACAGGGGCAGTCCTTGACAACACAGGTCTCCCATGTGTACAGAAGCCCCCTGGAGTTCATTACAGACATGGAGCACACAGACATCGAAACTACCAGAATATCATCAAAATGACTTTCACTAATACCAAGTAAGGACCACAACTGTACAAAAGAAATCCCTTCAAAAGGTTGTTCCTAACAGTAGGTTTGGATGCAAAAAATTGTGTAATTGGATTTTTAGAAATAAAAATACAAGTTCTCGGCTTCCACATGAAAGACTGCGGTGTCAGCATCAGAATACTTGTTTTGTTTTGCAAGCACGTTGACACCTTGTGACGGATACTTTGACAATGTCTGACAGAAAAGTTTGCTTACCAGTACACGTAACAGTGTTAACACATATTATATATTTTTTTCTCTAGCACAAAAACGTATTGCTTACTTATGTGCAAGATTTAAATTTTACACCCCAGACATGACTTTATATAAATTTTGCAGTATACATTTTCTCAATGATTCCAGGGAGCTACAGTAAGATTTAAAAAACAAATTAAAAAAAAATCTTCCCTTCTCCTTTAATCAATACAGTCCCTTAAGAGACCATGCTTCAGGACATTCACATAAAATATTAGCTTTATATATTTGCAGTAGATAAACTGAATAGCAAGCAGATCAATCAATTTTCAATTACTTTTGGCATCTCAATATGAAACAACACATATTAACAATCAACAACAGTCAAGCTAACAAGTTGTTCTGTGGTCTAAAGAGGGCAGAAGGTATGCAGATAACTCTTGTCCATTATGAAGATATTAATGGTACTTTTTTTCAAATGGCAAACAGATTTAAATGCAGTAAAATAAGGGACACCGTAAAAACACCAGTCAAATGCCTAGAATGGCTTTTTTTGAGCTTTTCCTATCATTGTTTCCATACAGACTTCCTACATTTCAGACACCATTTAAGGCTCTACCTCTGTGGCTCCAAGTCAGGCTTGAATACAACCAAAGGATCTATGGAATTCTTCAGTGGATAAACCTTGCCTGCAACATACATTTCAGCTAATAAAGAGGTTCATTCCCACTCACCTTATAAAACCTACATTTTAACAAATGAACCAGCTCCACCTCCAATCTTATCAGATCAGCTGCAGAGGTAGTAAAATAATCAAATTTTGTATTTCCCATTGCCTGCAGCATCCATGTATGTTTCCCTTTCACTTGTCTCATTCAACTGATCTACACTTAAAAATAAGCTGCAATAATTTCATTACTATTCCTTTTGTGTTACTTCCTCTCCTTTTCTTTCTGTTTTCTGTACCTGATTAGACTCTCTGTTGTTTTTATTACAATAGACTAACATGACTGGCTAATTCCCAGGATATTTCTGCAGTAATAGCTGTCTCTAAATGTCCTTCTTTCAGAAACACATATTTAACAATAAAATTACACTTGACTGATGTCCATTGAACTGGACAATTCTTCTTTCACAAAAATATGGTCAGATTCTCTCCACACTGCATCCTCATTTTTATTGCGCAAATTCATAAAATAATAATTATTCATAAAACTTATGAGTAGGATACAACATTGATACTTATCGGCATTATTGCTTGCTCAATTACCATATTTTTCCATGTATAAGATGATACTTTTGTTTAAAATCTCTACATAAGAAACTGAAGGTCTTATACATGGAAGGAGGGGGAAGGGATCAAAGCACTTTGATCCCTGCCTTTCCCCTCCACTTTCTTACAAAGAAAGTGGAGGGGGAAAGCACTTTCTTCGCAAGAAAGTGGAGGGGGAAAGCAGGGATCAAAGCACTTTGATCCCTGCTTTCCCCCTCTACTTGCTAAGTGGACTTAGCAAGAAAGAGGAAAGCAGGGATCAAAGTGATCCTGCAGCACTTTGGTCCCTGCTTTCCCCCAGGGACGTGGTGGCGCTGCGGGCTAAACCGCAGAAGCCTGTGCTGCAGGGTCAGAAGACTAGGAGTAGTAAGATCAAATCCATGTGACGGAGTGAGCGCCTGTCGCTTGTCCCAGCTCCCACCAGCTTAGCGGTTCGAAAGCATGCAAATGCAAGTAGATAAATAGGGACCACCTTGGTGGGAAGGTAACAGCGTTCCGTGTCTAAGTCGCACTGGCCATGTGACCACGAAAGATTGTCTTCGGACAAAACGCTGGCTCTATGGCTTGGAAACGGGGATGAGCACCGCCCCCAGAGTCGAACACGACTGGACAAAAATTGTCAAGGGGAACCTTTACCTTTACCTTCCCCCTCCACTTGCTAAGCCCCACTTAGATTTCTTAATTTTGAGTTAGAAAAGTGGGGGGTGGGGTGGGGCATCTTATGCACGAAAAAAATACAGTAAAACTTTACAGCCACCAGAAATCCTATACACTGTGATATTATGCTGAATCCGGGTCACATAACCCACAGCGTCTTGCATATGTTTGTCAGGATTGCCAGCTGAGGGTCAATCAAAAGATCCACAGAATCATGGATATAACATCAATTTCAAATGCAGGATCTTAGTCTACAGTTATTTCATATTATAGTAGTTTATACTTACAATGTCAAATTTTTGGGTGATGTTCCCTTGGACATCAAGTAAATAAACTTTGCCATAATGTGTTCCAAGTGCCAAAAACTAAGGAGACAAAAATGGGAGATGAAATCATTCACCAGAAAAAAAAATCAAACAAAACAAGAATATTATAGAACTGTTTCTTGGTACTCTATTGCAAAAATAGTGACCATCAAAGAATATGTTTAACATCCAAAGCTTATTTAGAAGCACTTAAACGATGGAGACCTTGAAACTTACATTTATTTTAAATCACATGCATGCTAATTCTTAAAAATTATTAACAAGATAGTTTCTTTCCCTCCAAATCTACCACTGAGAAATGAGACTCTGGAAGTCTACTTGTTTCTTTTCACAGACTGGGATGGGCCACCTCAATGTAAGAGCCAATTTACAATCCGCATGACCCAGTCTAAGATATGTGTGATAACTGCAGTGAACAGCAGTCCATCTCCAAACTTATTTTTTTAGGTGTCTGGGACTGAAGGAAATTGGTCAGTCCATGAGTCTTGTTTAATAGCAAGTGCACCTCTTCTAAGAACAGAGAAGCTCATTTTTTTATGGCCAGACGAAGAGGGCAGGGGGCATGATGGGGGTGGGTTAAGGAAGCTGCACAATCACCCTTGGGCTGCACTTTTCCCACACCTGTCTTTAGCTATGGTGGCAAATTACAAATGGAGTGAAAGTTTAATTTACGGTATGTACCTTTGAATAAAACTGTACAATTTAAGAAACTCACATGTTTTGCACTGTAGTTTAAGGCACTGAAGCAAAATATTCCATGACTAGGGCCACCACAGATGCAGAGTCAGTTCTAGCTCTGCCTCCTTGCCTTCAGTATGATAAAAATGAGATGGGAGACATAGGTCTTTGCATAAGGTGTTTGAGCTACACAAGGCCAGGAATTTCCTTGGACAACAAGCCCTAGGCAAAACTAACAAGTATGGAGGGGAGGGGGGGAACAGAAAGAGAAGATACTTGGAACCAAGGTTCCCTCTAAGCTGCACGCTTGCTCAAAGCTCCATGAGAAGCTTTGAGCGAGGGGAAGCTGGCAGTCAGTTTGTTTACTTTCCGTTTGGAATCAAACTCCACCCACCCTAGCACACACGGAGCAAGGTTTCCATACAGCAGGACAGAAACCTAGAGAGAATGTTGCTTGGAACCTGGGAGCAGTATTAGGGGGATGATGCAGAGACTGAATGTAATTAGGGGACTGAAGGGTCTGGGACAATAGAAAAGAGAGATTGATGTAGGGCCCTTCAGCCAATCCCCATTTTAGTTTTCAAAATTCTTTTTGGCAAATGACCATTTGCTGAAGTTCACATCATCATGTAGTAATTAGCCAAAAGCGCACAACAAAGGAATTAACAGCACTTTCATTTCTGTTCCTTTGAATGAAACCAAATTTTTACAACAAAGCCAGATCATTCCTGAAATCCTAAGAAGAATAACTGTCAGCTCCATAGGTGAGTGTGCCTATTTTTCCTTTCATGACAGCTTTTAATCTCTTCCATTTGGGCCATTTAGCACATAACCAGAAACATAAGACTTATATTTAGAGATTATAGACATCTAATTTATCAGGATAGTCTCAAGCCTAAAATAAATTTCCAGTCTAAATTACACTGTGTGTACTTTGATTCTATGGCCACACCTTTCAGCTATAGGAAGAGGCACAGTACAGGCAAAATATCTGTGAAGTGTACACTTTTTTATAGTCCATAGATGTTTCAGAAACTCAGACTTCAAAAATTATGCAAGAAACCGCTATTTCATAATGCAACTATAATGCAGGGCTTTTAAATATTGTATCAAAAGCATAATGCTGCTTGATATAAAAGAGGGTGCATTTCTACCCCCCTTTAGCATTACTCAAGTGGTCAGACTCCTAAATTCTGTGTATTTCCATTGCATGTGAACATGCTTCATTGCAGCCTATAATGAAATGCTCAAATTTACAGGCACTACTAAGCGTGTCAGTCAAGCAGCACAATCTTTAAAAAAAATAACCTTACAGAAAGTCAAGGTTTAAAAGGATTTATCAAAATGGAATTGCTTAAAATGAAATTTCAGTTCAGGCACTTAAAATATGAAGCCACATTAAAGAGAAGTAAAAAAAAAAGATGGGGAGGGAGAGGAGAGAAGGGGTTCATTAGAAATTCATCCCCTGCAATGCCTTTCACTCCTGCAAGGTTGCCTTTTACAGGAAGAAAAAAGTCCCCCGGGTAAAAAAATCAATACTAGTTAATAAAACATCAGGTGTGCAGACATAACTAGGTATGACTATTCCACTGCACAGGCCTGCTTGAATGCACCAGGTGCCATGACGATTAGTCATCCAATGCAGACAGCAAGTCCAGTGAAAATATGTTTCAGCATTGAAAGGAAAAAGTGTAATAATTCTGGAGGGAAATTAGTCAGAATATATGCCAGACCCTGGCATTCCAAACAAAGCCAAATTGTTCTAATTGGAACATGCGCCTATCATACAAACTGTAGTTTTATTTATGAAAACTCTTTCACAGGGTCTGATCTTTTTTAAAGGATACACAGCCCACCTTCAGGTTTTAGCTTTAGCATTGTAAGAGGCCAATTCCTAAAAGACAGGTGCACTCCAGCTTCTAATATTATTGATCCTACCCATAAATAGTGTAGTTTGCCAGAAAACTGAAAGTGCTCAGTTACTTAAAACAACTCTGCAGTTGTGTCCCTCTTTTTGACACTATAATTAGAGTCGTACCTGACAGAAACTATTTTTGGCATGGTCCAAGATACATGTTTCTTTAAAAAAAGAAAACAAACATAGTTCCACATTGAAACTGCCAGCTGTCAAAATTACAGAAGTTCAGCAACCATGAAACATCAATTTTGCTGAATCTATGGTGATCCTTCTCTCCAGAATGCACAGAACCCTTTTCCATTATAATAATCCTACTGGGAGCAAAGGTACTGCATGTTTCCATAGCGAGGAATGCCTGTCGCAAGTACCGAGCCTTTCTTTCTTACTGAAAAAAGACCAGAACATTAAATACATGTATATGCACACATGGATGTTTGGGTCATATCCAATAGCATTACACCTAAAAATATGAGAAAGAGTGCAAAATAGTAGGACCCCCATATCTGTGGGGGATCCATTCCAAGATCTACTGCAAATGTCTGAAATGGCAGATAGTATTGAACAACATACAAGGAGGCAGGACAAAGGACAAAAGGCCCACCACCTTGTATGCTGTGTACAGGGCTGTAGTAAACCATGGATACCAATCCCACAGATACAGGGGCCCTACTGTATTAATTGTAACAGGAACAACAGGCATAACTTTACACCTCTACTTAAGTACTCATCTATTTGCTCTATACCTTTCTGGAATAACTTTTTTAGGCAATATAGACAAAACCCTAATACTAGAGGCATGTCTTTTCCTCAAGGAAAGAGTGCAAATGTAAAGACTGCAAGGTATACCAAATTATTTTAGAAGGTAAACTGCACCTCAATTATTTCAGTATTATTTTTGTTAACATGGGAATGATGCAACTGGGTACTCTTCTGTTGGATAAATGAAACATATAAGCCAATCTGAAGTCAATAAAAATATTCTAAGTTACCTCTAGAAACTCATTTTTGAATTGTAGCTAACCACAAAAGTAAACAGGAGAGGTATATTCTTTTACCATACACATCTCTTACATTTCATCCTCCATGTGTTTTCCCTACCCCAAGAAAGTCAACTGGAATGCTTAATAAAGTGGGGAGTCAGTTATCTCCATTGTGTGTTTCATGAAGTAAAATATAACAAGGATGCAGAGGAACCTAACATAACCTTAAGTTAGGGACATCCCAAAATTCAGTTGTAATGACAGAATTGGGGTCTGCAAAGCTTCCTTTTTGCCAAGGCAGGAATCACTCTAAACATGGCTGTTCCAGGCAAGCTGTACGAGCACACAGCTTTCCAGAAAATAACTTTCTAAAAAGTCTACTATTGCTGGGTCAAATGTTTGTGCCATACCCTAAAACCAAAGCACGCAGGAACCACAACCAACATTTACGTTGCGCTAGTCTATCAAATGCATTCTTATTTAATTAAAAACCATCTTGCCAAAGATTTCAAGATGAAATTAGAAACACAAAAATTTGGCTGAGTCCTCCTGTGATATTTTAGAGAATACAATTAAAAGAACATCAGGTAAAGATGCTGGTGTAGAGATTTTATTTACTGACTTACAAACACAGTGTTATTGCTTAAAGAAACAGGATTAAATCAGTGGAATATCTAAAAAAAAAGAGTACCCTGTTTCCCTGAAAATAAGACCTAACCTGAAAATTAGCCCTAGTATGATTTTTCAGGATGCTTGTAATATAAGCCCTACCACCAAAATAAGCCCCAGTTAAGTGAAATCCCACCCTCCACCATTGTGCAGCAACCAGAAGAAGATGACATGACTGTATTTGAATAAATGTAGATTGTAGAAAAAAAATAAAACATCCCTAATGTGTTTTTGGAGCAAAAATTAATATAAGACTCTGTCTTATTTTCAGGGAAAGATGGTAGAAAAACAAAAACTCTCCACTGGTTAACTGCAGCCCTCTCACAGAAGTTACTGCTCCCATTTTTGTGAGAGAATTTTGTGTACCTTACCCTGCCCACATGAATAGAAGATCTATGTGAGTGATCTGCATGAGTAATCCTTCCAATGCAACATTTCTATCAGTTCAGTTTTAACGGAATACAAAAACATCCAATACTGTAGCTCCCAAGTATTGGAGGGCTAATTGACCCTGATTCTGGATTCATTACTCTGATATACTACTGATATATCATACTTGTGCATAGCATATGGACAATCCTTTTTGTAAAAAAAATTATATTACACATATTATCAAATGTGCCTCCTGTTTTGTTTTTTACTCTATGGCTTAAACTAGATATACCTGACCCGAGGAATACATTAGCTATATAATGCTGTCAAGCACAGGAGAGTTATAAACAAGAAAACAAGAATTAATCCATTGCAGCATGGATCTAGTACAAGCCCCAACTGAGGTCATGGTTATTCATCTAATACTTGAGAAAAAATGTCAGAAAAGTGATTGGACAAGAGATGACTATAGGAAACCTGCTACATAAAAATGTGAACCAAATGCCATTATCTGTCCTCAGCTTCTTTAAGCAAGTTCTCTCACAGAAATACACAAATTCTCATATATTCAAGGAAAATACGGGGCTGTGTTCAGAATTCACTACTAGATTTCCAAACAAAGAATTCTTTTCTCTTATAGCCACATCCTTGCTGAAAAATAAATTACTATTTGATCACCAGAAAACATACCTAAAGATTTTATTCTCAGTTTGGAGTTGCTAAGCATTGTACTGTGGACTACAGAGCAAATGGGCTAATGAGACCAAAACTATGTATGCACAGAGGCAGTTTTCAGTACCTTCTCATGTACTGTCATGAAACTGGCTACATCCTTCTGAAGAACTTCTGTAACCCCATTAGAAAGTCGTTCATACTTCAGCTTCGGTTCTTCTTCACTGTCATCTTCCTGTATTAAGATAGGAAGACGAAAAGATGAATGCTAATTTTTCTCAAGTTTACTTAAAAATTGCTACTCCACAATAGCGCAGACACTCCTCTGTAAATTCTTCTTTGCTGCCATTAACAAACGAAAACCAAACAATGTCTATTTTACTGTATGAGTTACTTACATCAGAACTGTAGACATACATTCTTTTAGTAAATATGTTAATATGCTGGAATGCAAAATTCATTTTATTAATAATAATGTATTTCCTGAAAACAAATGTGGGTGGTGTTTTTTGGCTAAATAAAACCAAACCCCATTCTTTAATAACTACATAAAATATAAAATGTTTAGATAGAGATATAGGCAACAAAAAAAAAAGCCAGCAATTTTATCCAGTTTTAGACAAGCTGCTTGAGGGAGGCGGGGTGGAAGGTCTCTTCAGATATAACAAAGGGTAGAAGCAGAAGTCATCTGAACTTCCTTTTACCATTCTTTTACACCTTGCTAGAAGCCAGGAAATTTGTCCATGAGGGAACAGCACATACCAACTAGTTTCATAGAAAAGGTAGAAGTATTCTGAGAGGAAGCAAGAGTCACTCACAGATCATGTCAAAACCAATGGGTGTGTATCACAAAGCAGGAACAGACAGACAGACAGACGAACAGACGGACGGACGGACAGACAGACAGACAGACGGACGGACGGACAGATGGACGGATGGATAGAGGCAAGCATCAAAAGGGATTCAAAAAGATGTAGCCTGAACACTTACGGATGTGTTCACACACAGGATTTTTATAAGTGTCAAATTATATATACAAATAAAGTGATATATCCAGTGGCTTCTCTGGCCTCAAATCAAAGCATAAAGAGAGTCTGACTTGCATGGATTAATTACTATCCTGTATGCTTGTAACACTGGTTTTACCTTACTTACTGTAAGAAAACTCATGAGTCATTACATAAAGAATATTATGTTTCACATAACACTGTATACTTATAAGGAGGCTGCCGTATGTCCTTATTCTTTTAATGAAACTCACTACCGAATAACTTTGGGGTGCATACAACTTGGACATAATGAGCCAAAATCATGTGCCCACTGAGATCAGCAAAGGAGACCTGATTTGCCACTTTTAAATAACGTTGTTACTGTTGCACACACAGAGATGTGCAATAGGATTTCAGCCAATGATTCAGAAATACAAGTCCAGATTCATGCTGTATAAGAAGTGGTTTATATCATTGGTTTACAGTTGACTGTTCACTGAAAGCTGTTCAACTCATAATAGATGTTTAAGTGGGAAGCCTAAGTTGTGGTAAGTACACCTACATTTCCATAAGTCTATTTTTTTTTTCTTCACATGTTGCAACGAGAGGCTTCTGTTTTAGGAAGTTTTCATGACAGATTTTTTTTTAAAAAAAGGATTAATACAGGGATGTCAACAATCAACGATGTAGTTGTCTAAAACAATGTGTCAAGATGTCCAGCAAGAGGCAATTTTATTCAGCAAATTCACAACCAAACAAAGTTGTTACCAGTCAGAAAGATTCAATGTCAAATTGGAACACAGGGCATAAATCAGACAAATTACCTGTGCTCATTCATTCTTGACAGATGCAAAACAGTTACAATCAGAAAGTTAACACAGCCTGTAGCTGATATGTCATGTGACAATTAACACATAATTGCATTTTTGAACATAGTGAATAAGACACCTGCAATGCACGAATGATTTGTGCACTCTAGGGATAAACCTGCACAGAAAACACTGAATTCTAGGCATCAAGTCATTATAATAAGACCAACGTGTTACTGAAGTCTGGACATCGAATGTGCAACCAAACTGAAAAGTTAATTCTAGTCTCTCCAGTATTTTGCATAAAAGCATTCATCCACGGACCATTAGATAAAGTTACTGTAAATAAGTTTTGCCTGTCTTATTTATGAGTGAAAACTAAGTAATTTCTCTTGTGTATGCATATACAGAAAACATATACTTTCAAGAACTCAGTTCACTGAAGCATTCTACCAGGCTTCAAGAAAACATGAATAAAGTGAAAAACTTCAAATATTAGGCACACTGATGTACCCATTTCATGATTTTTCTGACAGGTATCTTTTATGTTAAATAAAAGTCAAGCTAAAGGTGGGTTTGAGAGGCTTTTTCTCTATTGTAAACAAACAAAATGAAAAACTATTTGCAAAGTACAAGATTACTCCATTGCTGTGGACTATACATATCTTCTTATAAATAAAAACGAGAAAAAGCATCAACAGCATTTGATAAATCAGAGTTTAACATTACATATATTTCATTCTCTCTTAGGAAAAGCTTTTATGGAGCCTGAACTTCTAAAGGTAAACACAAGGCAGCGTAAATAAAAAGCAAATCAATAATTTTTGTTAAATTTTAATAATCCTGCAAACCTACAAATAAAACCATCAGCAGCCTGAGTTGAGATGACAGTTAGCTGCGTTTCTATGACAACCTGGTTGAATAGTACAAGTCTTGACTTGCAGCAAAGCTGAAGATATGAACAGAGTGACATTTACCCCATACAGGAAAACTCACAGCTTTCTTCTTAAAAAATCAATTTCTAAACTAACATGGATTTTTACTAAGTATATGGCACTTTTAATTAAAGACAAGTACTTTATGTTATCCTAAAGGATTCTCAAACAATTTTGTAAAATAAATTTTATATCACCATAGCTTGTACTTTCTACTCTGTTTTCCCCCACAGAGAATATACAGTCAGTTCTAAGACTTTTGAAACAGTTGTCATCTATCCATCAGCTACTGGTACTGTATATTTTGTATGTTGAAATACTGACATTTTCAACAGACATAATAACTAGGACCAAAGAACTTAATTTACTTTCCAGATCTCATGCATGTCCAATGTTATTCTCTGTTTGAAATGTAGGCATGCTCTCCTCAGTCCTCCTCTATGCCTTTGAAAAATGCTTCCTATTTTAAAAAAATACTTCCTATGCCCATCCTTCTAGGTGTACATCTGTCTGTCAACCATTTTCAATGGGGGCCCTATGACCCTTGGGGGAGGTGTCTTGGCACATTTGAAGGAAGCCACAGTCTGGAAAATGTGAGAAGTTTCTGAAAGATACAGTATATGTTCATCTTGTATTCTTATTTGGCAGGGAGCTCTAGAACCTGAGAAGATCTCCTAAAAGGACTGTGATTTTAGTTGTATGTTTGGTAGTATTTAAATCAATTATAAAAAAGGTTGACAATGGCTGTTCTGGATCTTAGACACTATAAGCTATAACTCAATAGATAACTAAACACAGGGTCTTTGCCAGTATGCCTGATAGAACTATGAGTAATATAATCAGCAATAAATAGAAAGCCTATTGAAATCTATTTTTATTTGTTGTGGATTTTGGTGGGGATGGGATAGTGTTATTCTATACAGGTCTGCTCAGCCAGTCCCACTGAGTTCATTGAGATTTGCTCTGAGGTAAATGAGTACAGGGATGCAGTCTAAATGTGCATTGGCCTACACAGAAATTCTGATGGATATTTTTACACATAGGTGATTAATGAAAATTGTATACTGGTAATGAGAAATGTATACTGGTACGGGTGTGGAATCACACTTCAGGGGTATTTACTCATCCAGATATCAATGTCAAAATTCAAAAACTGCAAGTTGGCCTCCTGTTTCCGTGCAGGAAATCAGCTTGTTGATTTGTGAACTGAAAAAGGGCAAAGCCCCAGGCGCTGATTATATCACAGTTGGTTTACTGCAGGATAACATGGATTGGTGGGCCCCAGTTTTGGCTTCACTCTTTACAGTGGGGTCTTGACTTAAGAACGGCCCGAGTTAAGAACATTTTGACTTAAGAACCACTCTCATAGGAAAATATTGACTTGACTTACATACTTAGATTTGAGTTAAGATCTGAAAAAAACCCATGTAGGAGGCAGGGAAAGTGCAAAATTTGAACTTTCAGTTAACTGTTGGCCAGTGAAAAGGGTGCCTGTCTGCTTCCTCACTCCTCCCAGCGTTTAGAGAGGGGATTGGGAGACAGTCTTCGGACTGCCTGGTACTGCCTGGACTGTATTTTCCCTGCCTTCCCTGAACCTTTCTTGACCTAAGAAAAAAAGAAACAAAATATCCCCCTCTAGTGGTCGAAGGCGGAATAGCAGCTTCCCATTAGTTTCTATGGTCGGAAAAGAGCAGATAAGGATCAAATGGGTTTCAGTGCATTCCTATGGGAAATGCAGATTTGACCTGAGAACTTTTTGACTTGAGAACCGCCTTCCAATAGGGATTAAGTTCTCAAGTCAAGACCCCACTGTATATGGATTGACTGCTCAGTGGTTATTCCAAAGGATTGGGGACTTGCTATTATAGTACCAATATTTTTAAAAGGCTATAAATTACCATCCAGTAAGTCTACCAAATATTATTAGTAAGCTTTATGCGAGGCATCTCTTAGGAAAACTTCAAGACTGGTTACATGAAGGAAATATCCTTGCTGAGGAACAGGCTAGATTTAGAGCAGGCTGGGCCACTATAGACCAGGCATTAGTTTTGCAACATCTAGCGAATAAATATTCCACTCCTAAAGGGTATCTCCCTTTATAGATTTCAAATCTGCATTTTATTTGATTCCCCGGGGAAACTGTGGGCAAAATTTGAGGCTAGAAATATTGACAAAAAACTCATTTTGCACAAAATATGGACATAATATTGATATTGATCAATGGTTGCAAATATGGAAAAATAACATAAAGCTCACAAAATCAGTAAATTTCAACAACATATATAAGATGTTTTATAGGTGGTATATGACTCTGGAAAATTGTCAAAGATTTATACAGAGATGTCAAATATTTGTTGGAAGTGTGAAGCACAAGAGGAAAGCTTTTACCATATGTGGTGGACTTGTAGGGTAGTGAAACAGTACTGGACAGCAGTACATACTCTGTTACAAAAAATACTGCTTTGTAATGTTTTAAGAAAAAAATAATAATCCAAAAACAAA